TCAGCTTGGGCTAATAGGTGGTACTCTAGGCCCGTTATGCATAGTCCTGTTTGGGCGTTGGGCCTGCTGGGCCTATTCCAACATTACTCCCCCCCCAGTGTTCGGTTGACGAACTGGGATGTGTGTAGCCACGGGCCAGCGTTGTTGGGCCTATTCCATTCCAAACGGGTTTAACAGCTTGCAGCCGACCTCGACAAGGGGCGAGCTGAAAGGTAAAACGAAAAGAGGCGAGCTCGCGAGCTTGAAAACGTGTGGGCGAGCTGGTATTCACGGCCACATTAGTGTGGGCTGGTCATGGCGGCGAGCTGAAGTGATTGGCAATAGACGAGCTCACTCGGGGACCATCCCTGCATGGAACGCCCGAGCAGCTCGTATTTGTCACGACCTGAGCTTGGAGCACCACCGAAGTGCGACCAGAAGGTGCGACGATCCTTTAGGGCGACCTGAGGTACCCATTGATTTACGTAAAAGTTTGTGACCTGTGCGAGCTGCAATCCGTGTATCGACCTGACAAATGTGGCTGCCGCCACAATATGTGACGAGCTGAATCCTGGGGAATTTCAGCAAAAGATCCACACTTTTGAACGAATTGTCACGGGTGGGCCGATCTGGCATAATGTCATGTTTGTAACGACCTGGTAAGTGTGCCCGCAATGGCGAGCTGATGTGACAGTATAGGGTACACCTCAGCAGTGACGATCTGAGTTCTGGTGGATTTTCGCATCTCTGAGGAGATACGCTTGCGCGACCTGATTCCTGGACGACTTGAATCTTGGGGATTTTTAAATCAACCGAATCTGACCAGATCTCTGAGGAGATACGTTTGCTCTTCCGTATCTCTTTATCTTCCTCGCCATAAATGCTGGCGCAGCGTTTGAGGAACGTGACAGCCAGAGGCGGCGCACGTTATACAAAAGGCAGTTAAACGCCTATCACGTGTGAGATGCCTATTGGCGCGTCAGAGACACGCGTACTGCGTTTAATACGGTCATTTTGGTTTTGTTTCTTTCGTAACCGTTCCCTTTGCCATTTTCACTCTTGCATTTGCTTGAAATCCTCTGAAATTCTCTGAAGCAAGACGACTCCAATCTTGAAGAACAGCACATCGAATTGACTTCACATTAGTTTCAGGTAAAAATGGTTTCACTACGAGAACTCACAGAGCAACGAGGTAACCAGGGCAGAGAAGGAGAGGAGGAAGGGGTTTTAATCGCGGAGCCTATCACTATGATAGTGCCACCGGAGTTGCAGGATGTACTGGAAACAGTGGCGTCTGAGAGCAGCGCCAGTTCCCACGCCAGAGACGACGGTGACGACCACCCTAGTGCATCGTCAAGCAGCTCGTCTACGGAAGAGACACCCAGCCGTGAAGAGGGGGCGGGGGATTTGGTGAGCAGTGTCTCAGAT